GACCTAGCGAAGAGCAAAGCGAGCTGTGGCGGTGACGTGACACGCGGCCGAGGATAGTTGTTGGGCACTGGACAATGGTCACTGGTGGTTGGGGTGGTTGGGGAGGTAAGAAAAGAGATGGACAGAATGCGGTAGAGCAGGCGAGAGCGAAAGGGAGGATTCGGACGGTGGTGGTGGTGGTGGTGGTGATGGTGGTGGAGGTGGTGATTGGGGAAGAGAAAGGCAGCTTGCTTGGGCGCGGAGCGGGTGTTCCTGGACGGTCCCAAGTGGACCCGCTGACCTAATCGCCTGCTTGCTTGCTTCTCTTCTGGCTGTTTGGGCTGCCCGTCCGTCAGGGTCAGGCACGGCGAGAAAATCGGAAAAGGCTGGGCTGGGCTGGGCTGGGCTCTGGTGGCGAAAAGTGAGAGGGAGAAAGGTCTGGCAGAACAAAATGCCTGTAGGATTTTCAAGGATGGATGGATGGATGGATGGCTGGTTGGTTGGTTGGTACTCTATAACAGTCTTGACAAAAAGACTTGCAGCGTGCGTGGCCAAAACAAAAGAGGCTGAAAAGTGGTTGTTGCTGTGGGCAGCCAGCCGGGACTTGCGGTGTGGCCGGCGACGTCACTGTTTCGGCGATGCCAATGCGACTGTCGCAGGTAAGGCTCGAGCTTGAGCGGATCGTGAGGGGAAGAGCACAGCAGAGAGTATTGAAATAGAATGGGTAGAATGGGTAGAAGGGGGAGCAGAGGGGGGAGAAGGGGGTTTGAAAGGGAGGGAAGAAAGGAGGGTCACAAAAAGAACAGGTCTGTCCCACAACGAGGCGGAGAGAGAATAGCAGTCGATGGAGTCAGCCTGCTGCATGCACTCTTGAGGCGAGGGGGGAGGATCAGGTTGATGACGATAAGGTATATAATAGTATCAACCCCGACGGGAACCAAAGGCCTCGCTCGACTCTATCCATGACAGGACAACAGCCCTGGTGTGAGTGGCCATGAGGGCAAGCCGTAGGGCAGCAGCAGGACGAGCAGGGCCAAGCATCCATCCCTACGACTACGACGACGACGACAACGATGCATGGAAGCATGACTACTCGGTCACTCTGATCTTCTGCCTGCCTGCCTGCCTGCCTGCCTGTCTGTCTGGCTGCCCAGTCTGCCGGCTTCCAGAGTCACGTCTGGAGTTTGTTTCTCGCTAGAGAATCGTCGAGTTAGGCCGGACCCTGTTAGACTGCGCTCATGGGCATCGCGCAACCCAGTGCTGCATCTGCATCTGCATCACCGCACGCCGCATCTGCCCCGTTTCCCGCCCCCAGCGGCTAGAGGGAAACATTGGCTCCCAATCAAGCCCGTGAAGCGGTCGCATGGGCGGTCTTCGGGGGGCCATGGGGGTAGGGGGGGACGCCTTCGCCAATGATGTGCGACAAGGCCTTCGAGGACGCAGTGAAAGAAAAGGCAGCGAAAGCGACGAAAGTTGAGGAGTGGAGAGGAGAGGAGATGCGTGGATAGGATGGGAGAGGACAGCAGACCATTTGGAAGTCGATGTGACCCCGCCAGCCAGCCAATCACTCCCCCCTACTACTACTACTACTACTACTACTACTACTACTACGTACTACTCAGCATAGCCTGTATACTACACACTCTCTCGACCCCTATGGAGTCGTCGACATCTCTCCCCACCCACCCTCATTCGCAAGACGTGGTCAAGCCGAGTGGGCTGCTAATCCTTACTACCCATCTATACAGTCCTTGGCGAAAATAAAGTGAAGCACGGCACGCACAGTAGCAGCATCGAGAAGCCTCCTGTCACGGTGGTCAGGTCCAAGCCCATGTGTGTGTCTGTGTGTGTGTCTGTGGTCGGCTCTAGAAGGCCACTGTCTCTCGTGGAATCCGAGACACAGCCCACCATGATGAGTGGAGTCAGTGAGCCGCAGTCACAAGCCTCGCCCCTGTGTTGCATTTCCTGTCCATAGACCTTCCCTATCTATTGCATGCACATGAACAAAACATAGATGCCTTACCTATCTCCATCTCTACTTGGTACTCTTGCCCCTCCCCCTCCCTACTCGGGGCTACAGGGCACGGCGGTTGCATCGCCAGGACAGACCCGGCCACTTTCACCCACACACGACTCCACGAATCAGTCACGGGCCACCCAACTCGATCCGTCCCGAAAGAGATGGGATGGGACCATCCACCCTAGCCCCCGTCCGCGTGGTTGGACGATGGCGATGCCGCTTATGTGGTGGAGTGAGTGAGCGAGCGAGCGAGGGGCACAAAGTGGGGCTCAGCACCACTCCCTTCTCTTCTTCCCAGCTTCTCTTTGGCCACCAAAAACCTTCGCTCCCACCAAGAGCCCCGCCGTCGATATCGTTTGGATGAGCTGGATTGGGGCAGACAAGGGAGGTCGGTGGTTCGGGTCATCGGTCGAGTCCTTGTACTGGTGGAGTACGTGGTCATCCTCGATTGCCTGCACGTCTCTTGTACGGTATCCATCCCATCTTCTCTCAAATCAAAAAGGCGGTGCAGCGCCACAAGCAGGACATTGTCAGGACTCAGATGGGTCGGGCTGTGGAGCGAGGAGGACGGCGTAGATTGCAGGGCGAGAGAGAGAGAGAGAGAGAAAGGCACGACAGGCCCCCACGCTTGTGAGATCATAGTACATACCGTCCTACAATACAGTCCTGCTACTCCATTGTAGACATGGAGATGGCACTGCACTGTCCTCCACCGACTCCACTCGAGTCCTCCACTCTTTCCGCCCAGTGCTGGCTGTCCTCAACTGGCGACTTTCCAAAGTCCGTCATCCCACATCAGCCTACCTACTATACAAGTATCTACCTAGGTTGCTGCGTAACCTTCCGTGGCCTCGGGCCTCCTCGCTAGCACCCCCGATCCCCTAGATCTAGTAAACCATTGACCACCACCACCGACCGCCCTGCCAACACCTCCCAAAATAAAACTCACATTGTACCTACGTAGAGTACTCATCCTCTAGATACACACTACACTACACTACCCTACACTACCCTACCCTAACCTACCCTAACCTACCCCCTTCCCCTCCAAACCCTCACATCCACTCCGTAAGATACAAAGTTACACCGCTTCCTCTCCCCCCAACGTCCACGGTAAACGCCAAACGCCAGACGCCAAAACGCCTCACTCTGACCGCGCAAACATGCGTCTACAAGCCCGCCGCCACGCACACACGCGAGAAATAAAATAAATAAATAGAATAGATCTTCGGCAACTACCATACCCAGAGTACAAGTAGGGCTACCGAGGTCCCCCGCTTTGAAGCGTCTCTCGTTTGATCTACGTTGCGTGCAGAGGAGATGGAGTCGCCATCTTGAGTCATGGGATTATTCACCGCTTGATACTGTGTACAAGGGGAGAGGAGAGGTACCCGCCATGTGAAGCGGGTTTAGGAATCACTACGTAAGTACCAAGGTTTGCATGGTGGGCTTGATGGTCAACGATCTTCTTGATCAAGCTTGTTGGCTAGCCTCACTTTTTTTGTCTTGCGCGTCCGAATGACGGAGGAGGAGGATTTCCGTTCTTCGGGCGTATGTTGGATGCTGTGCAGAGACAAGGTGGGTATGGGTGTAGAGGCGGTGTGGTGGATTACGGTGGATTGCTTCGATTGGATCGTCCTGCGCACATTCAGACTTGAATTTTGTACCAGAAAAACCATCTTGCTTGATTCAAATTTTGATTTTGAGTCTTCATCACCACTAAGCTTATCATGTTCCCATCGGCCATGTTCTGTTATATCAAATGCGTCGAATGTTGGATCGGCTATACTTCCTCTTTGCTCTTTTTCACTCACGACATATCATGCGCAGAAGACGCGAGGTAGATAGGATATACTACAAATTCCGTCTTCTCGGTTCATGCAACATACCTAGCGTTCAGACCGCAAAAGTACAGTGCCCACCGCCTTGAGTTATTTACAACCCATCTGTCCAGTCGTTACGCGTGTGAGTTGAACAGCTGCATATAAGCCAGAGATGATCGAGGATAATGATGATGATACGGATGATATCGAACCAAGTTTTTATTTCGACGAGAATAAATATACTGGGTGTCAGAATCAATGCCACGCTATCCCGCGTTATGCCATGCTTATGCTATACTATGCTGTGTCACACTGCGATACACTTTGCAATCTTGGACTATGTTACTAACCCTCCCCATCCCACAAAAAGTACTGCTATTAGCGGTATCGGGGGTAGAATGTTGGTCTAATGAGAGGAAAGATGTGAAAAAAAATTGATGACGAAGTCCGCTATCTCTCATCAGTGTTGTAGGCAGGTTCAGGTTTGGGGATTCGGGACGTTGGTGGCATGTAGTGGCATCCATATCTGGATTATCCTCACTACAGCAAGCTAGTAGTCATAACCGACCAGTAAATACCTAGAAAATGGTCTAGAGTTTGGATAGAGAGGTACCCAAAGTCGTATTCCACTCATCATGCGCCATCTCTTGGGAAGGGGGAACAGCCCGGAGACACTATGGCCACCATTACTGCCACCATTATGCTCTTCCTCCTCCTTCTCTTGTAAAAGCCCACTGTCATACCACACCTTCCACTCCACCATACTCTCCTGCGTCGCCTTCCTTATCTCCCAGAAATCAACCCAAACACTGTCTTCAACCCCGTCCAAGCTAAAATCCACTTCCGCGACCCGTGACACTCCCTCTACCTCTTTCCTTTCTTCCTCCTCTTGCCCCGCACAGAACCCTCATGACCAACACCCTAATCAACTCCCACACAAACGGCGCACATGGCCCCACATCCATTACACACGCATTCTTCACATCGTGCCTCGGCGTCCCATGCTCTGGCAAGAACTGTCATTCTGAAAGACCCTGTTGCAGGATTTGTGCGAGGCCTATGGCGGTGAGGTATGCGATTTCATGGCGCTGGGTGGAGGTGACGCCTAGGAAGTGGTTGTAGTCTGCTCGTTTGCGGGGGAAGTCGAGGCCGAGAAGGAACCAATGAGTTCCGAGGCCGAGAGAGGTGGATTTGGTTGTGATGTGGGAGCCAAAGGCGTCATTGATGGGGAGAAAGATGTACGAGGTAGTGAAAATGCGGGTGCGGTCGAGGTCGAATGGGTCGATTGAGAAAGGTTGGGGGTGTGGCTCCTTTGTTCCCTTCTCTTTAACTTGCTCTCCTGCTACCTGTTTGCCCTCTTCCATCTCCTGCCTTCCAATCAGAATAACAGGTCTTCGCCAAATTTGAGTTCAGCACCGCAATACCCTTCTCCTCACACTCCTCACCCCCTGAAAGCACCTCCAGCGCCATGCTCAAAGAATCATCGCGCATCCATGCTTCCCCGTCATCAGTACACGAGATACAATGCCAGTCTGCATTCGTGATCTGCGAGAGTCCGAGTGGGAGGTGGGTGTCATTGTCCAGAGGGGGATCGTATGTGTGAATGTATCTGGTGGAGAACAACAATATTGTGGATTTAGGGTAGGTGGATAATGATAGTGATAATTATGAAATCGCGGGCGTATCAGGTTTAGGCTTTAGATAAGGTGAACCGCGTGTCATGGTGCTAAGTGGATTTGTCTGGTGCTTCTGTCTTTAAGATATAAGAGTATAAAGATAGTGTAAGACTTTATGCGAATACAAAGACTTACTAGAAATGCGAAGGCTTAATGAGGAAATAGCGTAAGTCATTCTAGGATTCCAAAATGCGAAAAATTGTAATGGAAAGAGCAAACCAGCAGGATATATAAAAATGCTAGACATTTTTATCTACGCTAACATCTCTTTAGTATGGGTTCAAACAAAGATCATTTTGTACATTATATTTACTCACACAGCTCAATAACTAATACAGTGTTAGGTACAAGCGAAAGGATGTATCAAAACTCCATTCCTATCCTCAACCATGGTAAAGCCTACGTGTCTGCAATGAAAAAGAACAAAATGTATCTCTTTTTAGGGGCGCTTAATGCT